TTTTTTTTTTTTTTTTTTTGCAAACTAGTACAAGAATAATATGTGACAGCATCAGTTTAGGGCCAAAATATTATGCACGCAAACATAACGTCTGACACTGGCCCTAAATCAGGCTTCCCTATATATTTGGGTCTTTTTTAAATTGTCCTCAAATTGCCCTCGGAATGTAGCAGCATCACACACGCACAAACGAACTCACACGAGGCAATGTTGAGGACATAAACAGTTTGTACATGTAAGTTTGTATGTGTGCGCACTAACGTTAAATCTACATCTCCTCCTGGGCAGGTTGCTTTTGTGTCTTTTACGCCACTAATTTAAAAATGCACCCAACTTGAAATGTTAGAGATATATTTTGGTGGGGACCGCTCAATTAAACAAATGAATTAGGAGAGTACGCTTGAATGCAGTACAACACATTGCCGTAGGGGGTTGGGAAACACGGGAGCAGAGCAGGCAAGTGTCTCCTTCCTTTGCATTTTCCCTCTTAACCTGTCCCCGACCTCTAAGAAAATATATTTATAAGTAACTAGACAAATCTAAAAAAGTATTTCATCCCTTTGCCCTGCATGGTAAATTGTGATCGTGCGACGTTTTTACAATTACCGAGCGGAGCGAGGCAAGACATTTTCTTTTGCTTGTACACTCCCCCCCCCTCCCCTCCGCCACCCCAGCCACATTTTGTTTCTGCTTGTGCATTACGTATCTTCTAGCGCGATTTGAATTCCAACATTATTCATTTTACAAGTTTAAATGTTTTAAACTGTTTACACTGAAATCACTGAAGTAAGCAGCCCCGCAGATTTTGATCGGTCCAGCTTGTACGATGGTTTTATAGGAACGCAGTCATTATGTTATAAACGATAATGTGGTCGATTGGATAACGCATTTTTGTTTTGTTATTAAAATCAGCGACCTCTAAATAACTGAGCGCTGAATGTTCAGTAATGTACATGTCTACCTGCAGTCCAGGTTCCAGGAACGGTTTGTTCTTGCTTTTTTGGTACCCTCTGATATATGATCAGGCAGTATGATTTCAGCAGCTCCATACATGTTCCCAGATAGTCGTCTGCAGTCTGGAGCATTAAGTCGGCGACATGTTGCTCCTGTTAGCTTTAAAACACGATCATAGTAAATTCCCACAGCGTTTGAGACAACGGGTAGCTTTGTATGGTACGTGTAACTATGTCCTTGACATAATGAGATAGTGGCGGTAGATTAAGAAAGATTCAGCAAATGCATTCATCTTTCACTGGCGCTCCTAACGCATTACGCTCCAGCGGTTGTCCTCTAACGCATACACTTGTAGTGGTAGAACCCCCTACCGGGGCCAAAGATTGATTTTTCACTAGATATCCACAGATTGCCCAGTACATGCATGTCTCTGCTTTAATTGACGGTAATGCTTTACCCGTCAGAGAAACAGTCCACATATAAAATGTGTCCCTGGTAGAGGGTATTGGAGAATTGAGTCATCATTCAAATAACTGCTTCGTCAGTTTATCAGACGGGTGATTCAGTTAGTGCACTCTTGGAGCAAGGTGCACGTTATCAAAATTTACATATTGTATCTCCCATTCCCTTTCTCAATTATGTATTCTTACATAAAACAATGTGTTGCGGAAGAGATACAACGGTGCATGCATCGCATTGTATATTGTACCCGATTATTAGAGTGTTATGGGTTTCCAGCAGCGATAAATAGATGTATTTGAATAACGATTTTCAGGCAAGCTTGATATTAAATTTGACCAACATCTCGGACAAAACCGTTAAGGCCTATTTTATGACAACATTTGTAAAATAACAATGTATGGCGCAAAAGGCCACAGTTTTAAGCCTTCACAGCTGACAAAACTGATTGAAAAGCTTTATTAATAAAATCACATTTATTTGCTTACTATGAATAATGTTTCACTATATTTGCAAGTTCGAAATCAATATGTTCAGTCCCTTTTTCTAGTTTTACTTTCAAGCTAAAAAGTCCATAAAAACAGAAAGTAACATCGAACGTAATTGTGGAGTTGGTTTTCTAGGACCACGCATTAGGCAAAATTAAAGTTAATGTGGTGCGGTTCTTCACATCAGCCAAACGTCAGTTGTCAATCTATTCTGGGTAAATTGGCGTACACGCACAGTCAAAAGTGTTGTACAACTTGTCAGCGTTTCAGCGTGAGGCTTGGGATAAGTATAGCTGCCTTCTGGTATATTCTATGCTCCATTAGACACTGGGTTCTGCACGCATGCGCACATATTTGTTGAAATGTAACCTTGAAAAATAAAACAGAAAAGCAGAAGGATAATTAAGATACGAGTATACCATTGTATACACTGTGATGTTTTGCAGATGCTTTGCGAGAGGCATTAACTTGGAATGATGCGATATTATTTCCAATATACTTTTCGTCGTCGGTGCCGGGGTTTTAAAAAATATTTTTTTAACGTAAAAAAATGTGGCACAATGTGGTAGCTGTGACACTGAAGGGTTGTGCTTTATAACAATGAGGTGTCACAAGCAGCGCTATCTTAAAAAGCCTAATGTTATGTGGTTTGATTGCATTAAATCTTCTTGTATTGTGTTTGAAAATTTGCAATAGTAAAGACATAGTTACATTTTGTTTAGTCTATGAAATAATAGCAACTTCAAAAGTAGGTGAAATACTTGAAATGATTGAAAAAATTAATCGAATTTTACTAATGTCGTATTTTAAGTTGTTAACACGATATATGGTCGCCTCTTAACTTTTTATTCCCACCAAAGTTCCTTAAGCATTCTCTTCTCTGAGATTCAACTATCAGACAGTTGTTTCGTACACCTCAAACCTGTAGCCGAAGCCAATTTCAGAATCTGTCACTAAAAGCTGCTACTGCTTGTACTATAGAATGCCAGGTTTAAGTTGTCAAAATGTAAAAAAAGAAGTATTCATTCTGTTTTTACACCATGGATTTAGTGTAGGTTCTAATGCATGTGGAGATTGAAATGGAAACGTACCTTGAGCTGAGTTTCTTAGATAATGCCCAAGAACCTGCATTGATGGTAGAGGTGAGCGGAGCGTACTTCAGCTTGAAGGTGAATATTGTGTTTGCTGATAGACCTCCGTTCTGTGAAGACCACTGTTTGAAACTGACGCACCATATGGACGTGTCAGACACTTCGTCACATACTGCATCCGGAACTTTTGAAGCTTAAAAGACAATTTTTTACAATACAGACTGTGGCAAGGATATATTATCAAAATGTGTGTTGTCTAGGTGTATATCATACTACAGGCCCGTAGCCAGCAAATTCAAAAGGGGGGTTCTTTTTCTGAAAAAATGGACCTTTTACAATGAAACTTACGTGTACTTAAATGAAATTTTACCCAAAATGGACCTTTTCCTGACAAAAGGGGTGGTTCTTTCGAACCCCCCGAACCCCTCCTGGCTACGGGCCTGTACTAGTACCAGTATATGTTGAATCACATTCCTGTTAAAATAAGATACTGTCCATTGTGAATAAAAACTATATATTTTTATTCAATATCTTTTCACAGTTGATTATTTCTAATCTTTTAACACATACACTTTTAAAATAACTCAGATCTATTACAGTGTAGGTTTGGTTAAGTGAAAGCTCTTAATGAATAAGAAAATCTTACTGGGTAAAGTGACGTCCTTTAATTCTTTATGATCACCAATCAGTATCAGCCGAAGTGTCTAGTTACAAAAATAAAAATAAATAAATAAAATAAAATAAAATAAAATAAAATAAATAAATAAATAAATAAATAAATAAATAAATAAATAAATAAATAAATAAATAAATAAGATTAACACCTCAGAATGAATTTTAGTACTTGAGGGAAAAAAACGGTTAAGGGAACAATAAGACTTACTAATATATGTGCATTTAAATTACCGAGTTGAGGGCGGTGGTGAAAAGTAAAAAAAATATAACATTTAAACGCCTTGATGACCTCAGGAAAGTTCAGTGTAGTTGCTGCCTATGGCCTGCTCCTATAAGTGTCTTTTGCATATGGTTTGCACACATTTAGAACTTACCTGAGGAGACACCAGTGTCAAGTTTACTTCGACTGAAAACAATTTGTAGAATGATATTAGTGTATAAGACGATTTGCATTTGCTTAAGATACGGACTTACTCAAGAAGTTAGACAATTATTTACGTAATTCTCCATTTGTGACCATCTGGATTTAATTGCACACAAATATGCAAAGAAGAGGCGTACATAAGCAGTGCGTGTAGGTTTTACTTTACGCGTCACATCTGATATTAAACAGTTCTCTAATACAATTTAATAAGATTTAATGTCTTTGCACGTCAGGCTCATCATCCTCACAAGTTACGCGGTTTTAAGTATTATTATTATTATTATTGTTTTTGTAATTTGTTGTAAGGTGAATATTTGCAAGTCTCACTTGTAGCATTGAAATCGATTGGCCATTGTTTATATCGAAATTGTGCCCAGCAATGTGCCTTGTCCGCCTTCGCTGTGCACCCTTTGGTGCTGCCAACTGGAAAAAAACAGAATCAGGCACACAGGATGGAGACAAGTCTCATGTACTCTACTTTGTGATCATTACTTAGCTCTATCATACCCGATATTGCCATTAGATATATTCATGTTTATGCAATTAAGAAAATTGGCTTAAGTCATCTGAAATCACTCGTTCCCAACACCCTTCCTTACCGAAACAATACAAACAAACGCGAACTGAACAGCTTTTGCGTTAGTTATGCCTCTGTTATTACTTACGGTCGTCACTTTCAGTCGCCCTGATATGGTGGACCAAACCTACCACCAGCAATAGAATAACGCCTTTCAACATTTCCTCGTTCTTCCTTGATTGTAAACAGTGGGGATTTTTATCCAAAAATGATCTGCTTATTATCTGGTCAGCTCTTATATTTGCCTCTGATCAGTGATATCGGACCTCCCATGTGATAAACATGGCATTGTATACCAGGGAGAGCGATAAGATATAGTAGTATATGTACTGGTATAACTTAGTTTGCAAAATGAGTTGACAGTTTTGGAGATTAGATGTTATGCTTAGGGTTAATTTTAATTCCATTGGCAAATGAGAACCACTAATGTTGTGGCCAACACGTTGAAACGGCGTCATGTGGCTCCTTTTGAAAGAAAAAAATGGGTCACTTCGCTTTTGACACCAGGCACGTAAAGTTATACTGACTGTGCAATTCTACTTTTAATATATGATTGTCATCATTAGTCTTCATAAATTAAACCACATACATAAGGCCATGCACGCGCATGCACGTTAACAAAACAAACAGAAATACACAAAGACATGAATGGACACAGTATCACGCACATAAACACATGCACGGACACACATAATCGCTTTTGTTCAACCTAACACACTCGGACGCACGCACGTACACACACACACACACACACACACACCAAACACACACATACACACAGACAGACGCTCGCTCGTGTGCACGGTACCGTTGTACTTTAATCCGCACGTCAAATACTTTGTATAAATATCTTTAAAGGGATAACAAGAGTTCATTTTGGGTCTTAAAACGGAGTTTCCTGTTGTAAACGACAATTCTCCCAACCTTTCCAATGGTTATTGAATCCGAACCGATATTCAAAGTTAGTCGATGGTTTTGTGTAATAATCTTTTAAGATAAAATTACAGAGGGTAGCCATCTATAAAGGTCCACGTGGTCCGATGGCAAGCACATATTTCAGAATAATTGCAATAACCGCCGTTTTGGTGGTTAAATTTATTATTTTTTTCACGTGTTATTTACAATGTATTAATATTATTAAAGATAACATTTTGCGAACAACACACTGCTTGTGTCAGTTTCTATAAGATTAGATAAAGGGTTGTTCTTGCAGGGTATAGTATGGCATGACATTTCATAGGATAAAGTTCTTTCAATTAATTCTTCAAAAATGCCCTCATGTACAAATAACATCTATTTTTATCAAATTGTTTGATAATCACTTTTGCTCAACCTAATTTGATTGTTCAAAGCAATTCTGTAGTATGAGAACATTGGTTTTCCTGAAAATACAGAAAAGTAATTTAAGCTTCGGCAAATTAATTTGTAGGTGCAAATGCCGTTCATACTAGTCACGCCGACATGCAAAAGGTCAATTTGATATTCTAAAGAACAGATTTACCGTGGGCATTTGTAACACAACGCGTGTAATAACAGCTCAATTAAAAGATCATATCAATCACTCCAGGCAATCACTCGACATGGGCGGCAAAGGTTATCCAGTGCCACAGAACTCAAGAAAACGCTAATAAAGAGACTGACGGAAGGGGCAAAGACAGGCAGACGGTTGGTCGGGCGGACGGTCGAACGGACGGACGGACTGACGGGGAAAGGGGAAGGATGACTGAGTGACAGACGGATGAACTGACTGGAAACCAGACAGACGGCAGACAAGCAGAAAAAGGAGTGGCAAAAAAGGAAAGAGGTGCAAGGATGGAAGGGAGGCAGAGATAAGGAGGAGAGCAGAGAAAGCAGAGGCATTGTCAGAGGGATTTGTAGTATGTTGTAGTCGGGCAGATCTTAGTCGTAAGATTTTTATGACTATTGTTACACCATAAAAAATGTGTCAAAATTACAAACAATCAATCGGCCTCTGAGTACAATGTCATGTATTGGAGCTGCCCTTTTTATTATTGAAATCACCAATTCAAAGATTTCATTTACGTCAATTTATTTTTTTTTAATGATTTCCAAATTTGAACATGTCCTCAACATTCTTATAATCTATAGTTTAAAGCGCACTGCTAGGAATGACTACTCCTGTGGCTAGGGATCATCATTTACCTGGGATCTTGAATTCTATTTTTCCTTCTCCCTTTATCAATTTTTGGTCATGAAATAAAGAAATTTGTATCTTGAATTAAGCCCAAAATCATTTCAGATTATAGAGGTATAGGTTCAACCTCAACCCTTAAACCAAAGTGTCAAGTGCTAAATAATAATGTCGCACATCTTTGTGGATATTAAAGTTAAAAGAACAACATCGTTCTTTTTTTGTATTTATTGTCACAGATACTATATTTATACAAAAAAAGTGTCAACAGAAAATTTGCTGCGGTGAATATAACAAATTAGACACATACTCACACTATAAAGCATTGTTTTGAATCCAAGGCCCGCTCGCACTGGCCGCCAAAATATCAGCTGCTTTAAACGTACATATCATATATATCCTACATATCGAGCTCAAATATAATAGATGAACCTACATGAAGAAGGGGCTGGTCTAGGGCGTGAAAAGGGGTGCCTTTTCTTTGCTTTCTTTTCATTCTCACCCCACACACCCCCTTTGCGATGGAAATGGTTGGAAAATTGGTTTAACTTGGGGCGTTTTTGCAGTTAGACGTTCGTGGAGCATGATTCTGTTGGCTGCGTGTCTCCTCTCCTCTTTTGTCGAAGCACCGGGTCAGAGTCTGCCTTTGGGCTAGTCAAATGACCGAAAGTAATAGAATCCCAGTCTCTGTTGCACGCTTTGATGATATTTACACTATTATTCAATACACTGTGCTTGGATTATGGATGAATGGCGTGATCTCATAAGCAACGGATTATTGAAAAATATAGTTTTTCTTTTATATATAATTACTATAACTCTAATTTAGCAAGCGCCACATTGAGACTGACACTCCAATCATCTAAGTGCGTAAGGTATACATATGTTTCGTGTTGAACAAAAGATTTCCAATCAGAAAAATGTCAAATGTCAGTGCCCTTGCCTATATGAAGCCGTGTGTTTCTTACATGGAATCGGTAACGTTTATACATACAATTGTACATAAAACTATAGAAAAAATATGTAAATTGTTCTTTATCATCTTTAGAAATATCTCTCGATGTTATTCATTTGTTGTTTTTTGCAGATAAACTACATACATATTTTACCCTTTGCTTTTCAGTCCCAGACGTCAGATGAGGAGGTGGCCGTTAAAAAAAGCACGTAATTAATAAAGCTACAACTGGCATTGTGATATGTATTATCGCAAACACACTGAAACACAAAGAGTTATTAAGCCATGGTTTTCTACAGAGATACATACCGAGTATCGTGTATTTACAAAACCCAACATATGATACATACAACACTACAATTTCCATTTCGACAAGTATAATAAATTTCATAACACTTTTTCTACAAAAATATATCAAGATAAAATTACAAATGCTTTTGCCAAGAAATGCGTGTGAAATCATTCATATTTCACTAAAAATCACTCACAATGATTGATTTGCAAGACTCCAAGTCATCGCAATTTTTTTATAATAATTAACCTTAATGTATCACCCACCCCCCTTTCCCTCCCTCTTATACATCAAACATTGACTCCCAAGTAGGCCTACCTCCATCGGTAAGCAGAAGCCGACGCCATTTTGACCATTCTCTTTCACCTGAAAAAGGCAGCTTCTACACATGCAGATTAACAACAACAGCGTTAAACATCAGGGATCGAACAGTCAATAATATACATATATTGTGCACTTAGACTTACAGCGACCAACCATCCCGGAGTCCCCCTCTATTTTGACCCAAGGAACAAAACCAATAAAAGGTCCCCTCATTTTTAAATGTTTTACAGAAAGATATGGCGTATAAAGCATTTTTTTGGGAAAAAACTAAAGGATCTTTGATAATCTAAAGAATCGATTTTACAGTAATGATTCAGGTCGTCTTCACTTGTATTTGCAATTGTTATAGAGTAAAATGCCATTCTGAGTATTCATTATGTATTTTACGCTTATCACTTGCTCCGAGTGCGTTTTCTATGCATGTCTTTTCACGTTCAATTGGTTTTGTGCGGAAAACAGTTCCGATTAGATATTACATTACTCTCGCTTTCACGTGGCATCGAAAAACTTGTACATAAGACAGAGTGCAGCATTAAAATTCTTTGTCCTTAGTTATCTGCTAGGTTCATACGAAAACCCAGCCACGAACACCGTTCCGCATTTTCAAGTGTATACCTTGCTTGTCCCCTTAATGTTAAGTAATATCCAGCTATGACGAAGGTCCATCGCTACATACTCGTAAACAAGGAATCCGACTCTTCACGTATGACCGGTTTGTCCTCTCGTGCCAGGTCTGACTTTGACATTTGTTTAAGCAATATGTCATTTCTCTCCGTACTCAGATCGTGCTTTAGCGCTGACATCGGCGACGATTTTATCGATGTCATTCGCGTGGACCTCATGGTGCTGGAGAAGGTCGAGTTATTCCTTGGGGGAGGCTGTCGCCGTCGACATATGCGGTTCTTTAGACCGTCGATAAAACAGAGATATATCCAAGGGTTTGTGCAGCTGTTAAGGTTCCCTAGCATCATCATGAGGTTCATCAATAGCAAATTGGAAGCTAAAATAAAAATAATAAACATTTCCACCAAGCGCTCTCACTCTGTCACTAGAGAAATTATTCGAATTTTAAAATTTTATTATGATGTTTAATATTATTATTGTTATTATTATTATGTTGCTATAAAACAGCCCTTTTACTGATTAGTGTAGATACTTATTAGATTAAAATAATAATGGAGTTATTATAAGTTATTACTATTCAAATTATGGAAGCAAAGGTCCTTACAAAAAGAAATAAAAAAATCCTACCAAATGCGCAAACGATTATTTGTAAATGTGCTATTCCAAGAATGATAAGACTGAAATAAAAATATAGATATTCTCATATATTTCAAAACAAATTTGGACGTGACTGCAAAAAGCAAAATACTTACTTCCACTAGCCAACTTAGCATTGAAGGCGTACAACAAGTGGGTAATGAAGAACGGGGACCAACACATAGCGTATACGATGACCACGGTCAGTGTCAGTTTGATGGTCTTTAGTTTCGCCCTGGACAATCTCTGGACGTGTGCCCGAGGGGTCCTTGGCGGGTAAGTCCCATTGGTCATGGCTTTAACGTCGTCATGTTGTTGAGATTTGTAGCTCGTGCGGGCGCTGACGCTCTTCACTGATGGCGTTTCTTTTGACTTAACGTTGATCCACACCACGTACGAGATTCGGCCGTAGGTGAAAATCAAAATGGCCATCGGCAAGAACCAAACGGAGAAAGCAAGCCAGGTTACGTAGACTTGGATGCTCCATTCTGGGTGGACGAAGTACTCCATACAATCCATCAGACCGTATTTATTGGGTGCCAGACCAAATATGAAAAAGGGAGGGACACTCAAGACTAAAATAATACCCCATGCGATGGCCACCATCATGTGTGCTTTTCGGGGGCTCCATTTCTGGCTTCGAAGCGGGTAGCAGATGGCAAGGTATCGGTCCACCGCCGTCATTACGAGCACGTACCCAGACGCGTACATGGATACTAACTGACAATACTTGTATATTTTACACAGAAAGTCCCCGCCCAAAAATCTTACTGTTATCCCAACCACAAGTTCTGGTAAAGTCCCCAAGAGAGCGCTCAGTAAATCTGCGATGCTCAGGTGAAAAATGTACACCAACATTCGACTTAGTTTTTGTCTCCGGAAAAACAGCGTAATGATGACAAATAGATTTTCGACAATGGCTAGAAAAAGTATTATCCCCAGCACGATCATTTTAGCGTTGGCCATGTCCCGCTTGGCAGTGGACTCGGTGGTATGGTTATCAGTCGTGTTCCCCACTGTCGTAGAGACCATTTCGGTGGAGATCACGTCGTATGAGGGCCCGGACCAGGTGGTGTTTTCCGTGAGGAACATTGCACTGTAGGTTTCCATCATGGCGGGTTTGTCGGAAACTGTGGGGGAAAGTGGCCAATTTTTTTCTTAATAGCTAAAGGCTACGTTTCCATCAACCTGAAAGTACAAACGAGGAAGTCAAAATGATTTCGATAAAAACACCCATATGATGCCAATGGTGTTTTTTATTTCCGGCAATCGCTGTATCTGTATGTAAAGCATTAGCAAATTAAATAAATATTTAAATAAGTAGAAGACAGATCTACGCTACGACAGCAAGGCACAAAGCTCACTTGTATTTTTACAGTAACGTCGTCTCTCCTCAGGAGTTTTTCAAAAAGTATTTTCAATTCATCACTGTATCCTATATATCTAACAACACACGCACACTCCATATCTGTCGGGTCTATCAATGACGTAAATGTTGCTTTGATAGCCATTGTAATGTATGGTCATTATGAACAATACCGGGCTTGCAAGGTACATTGTATAAGTAAAGTGGAAGCAAGGTGGATATCAAAAATTTTAAGCCTCGCTCTGTGAAATACGTTTGCACTGCTCTTTAGTAGCTGGGCATATCAATATTGATTCCAAGAAGCGGTGATAATTTGCCTGTGGACACGCACAATAAATATCACAAACTATTTAACCTTTCTTCCAGTAAAGCCTTTACCCCATTTGTTCCCACAGGCCTGTCTAATATCTCTACAAAAGCGTGAGCGATTGTGAAATACATCATTATTTAATTTTTGTTTCTCAAAATAAATGACCGCAATTTTGCCGTAATTTGTTAAGGTAGAAGCCACCATGGCAATTGTAATTGAAATTGGAGGCAAATTAATTGGGATATTTTTCAACGATTCCTAGATGTACGTTCATGGCGATATATACGAAATGATGTGTGTGTGTGTGTGAGACAGAGAGAGAGAGAGAGTAAGAGAGAGAAAGAGAGAGAGAGAAGAAGAAGAAGAGCGAGCGAGGTTATTTGTGGTTACAGCGTGTTCAAAAGCGTGTGCTATTTTAAAACTCAAGCCTTCAACTGTTTTTTGCAAGTATTAATGCGTTTTTTTTTTCTTACGACAAAACATTTCACGTTAAAGCCAATAATTACTTTTGTTTATTAATATGAAATAAAAGAATTTTATACCTTTTTCACTTTGCATACTTTAAGACCGTTCAAAAGACAAGCCGGTATATACCAGCATGTAGAGTGTGAGGTACAAGTATATTTACACCGCCTACCCGCTTCATCCGGTTTATCCACGACTTCCTTCCAATTTATATTCCCATCGAATTAAAAGCATTTTCAGAAAAAACTGACCTGATAACGAAACAAACCTGGATGCTGGCGATGAATAACCACCCAACTATCTCCCCCGCGAAAAATCGGTGGCGTTTGAGAGTATAGACTGGTAGGTAAGCCAAATGTGTTGGCCAAGCCTGTATTCTAATCCTCCTTATATTGGATCCTAGCCCTACCTCGGTGGGCTGGGCTGCGAATTATATCATGCATCCTTAGCGCTTACATCATACGTATTTTGCATATAATGTCACACGAAGATACTTATAATGCATGCAATTCGTCATTTTTCTAAAGAAACACTCTTACCTGTAGTATTCAGATCGCAAGACGTTATGCAATAGATCATTCACTGTGCTTATTCAATTAACAATCAGTATGAAGACATTGGAAAATGGAGAAAATGACGAGCATCGTTGAGATGAGATGAGATTACGCAGGCTTATGTTACATACTTCTGGATTCTACTGCGTATATATTAACAAAAGACCAATATCTTGCTAACCGATATTTTTGTCGTCATAAATGTTTATGGGCCGTTTAGAATTTGTTTCTGAAATTAGCTATGCTGTTTTATCACTTCATTGGCATTTTTTATACAGACATTAATCTTTTTTATCTAATAAATGAAATGACAACTAATCTCCCTGCTCTTAGTATGATCACCTTTATTGCCCGGAGTAATCCCCGTGACGTGGGTCCTTCGTCGGAACTAGTCAATGTATGCTACAATCAAGCACCCACGTGCATCATTCCTAGAATGTTATACCACGTAACAACGTCCAACCGTCTTCCTGGATACAAAAGACAAGTAACAGCATACAATTACAATACGCTAATCACAGTACAACCATGTGCAATTCATCATCGTCACATGAACAACGTCTGTATAACAGCACGATGAGGATTTATGAGCATTGTCAAAGTTAATCAACCCAATTAGGTAGCCCAGAAACCAACCGTTGGTTACAGAAAAAAAAAGGATAAAAGCGCGAGCTGACCAATTACAAAGCTCTTGGGGAGTATCTTTACCATCTCTTCCGTCTCGCCCGCAGCAGGCATGGTAGTTAAGGAGGCTCATTAAAGTCCTTGTTAATTATGAAAATATCAGCTATGCCAAGTGATCACGTTTATGTTATTTTGATTGATAGACTTCTTGGGTAATATGAAGAAGCTATTCGTGATGAATAAAAAGCGGTTGGTTAATCTCTCAATAAACCATGGAGCATTAACTGAAGGCTCCATCGCACATATTTATATGTTTATCTGCTTGATATCTCGATCCAAACAACATCAGCTGAGATCTTTATCTTTGAGATCTGATCTCAGTATTTATATACAGAAACAGCGGGTTTTTCACTCTAGTTGATATGAAAATAAACCTTGTTCAAGCAAAGTTTGTACTGATCCGTTTGACATTTAATAGACTGAAGATGGCGGTGCTAAATGTTCTGAAACACTCTTGAATAGTCTTATAATAGCTTTTTGCCGTGAAATATTGTACTTTTAAATGCATAAAATAATCCGAAATAACATTAGTGTTTTACGAATTCTCATGTTTTTTTTTCTGAATAACGTTAACCCTGGAGAAACACAAACTGTACAGGTAGTTAGAGATACCTTGGTGTTGAGCAAGCTCGGCATGATCAGCTTTCCTGTTCTTACTTCTGTTTTCTTACATTGAGAGAGCGTTTAATGCAAAAGATCCTTCTCTTTCTTCATGAATAAATGCTGTTTAGAATGTTCACCAACTTGGTAAACAATTCAAGATGAACACGTTTCATGACACTTACAACAGGCATATCGTATATAACCGATATACATGTANACAAACCTGGATGCTGGCGATGAATAACCACCCAACTATCTCCCCCGCGAAAAATCGGTGGCGTTTGAGAGTATAGACTGGTAGGTAAGCCAAATGTGTTGGCCAAGCCTGTATTCTAATCCTCCTTATATTGGATCCTAGCCCTACCTCGGTGGGCTGGGCTGCGAATTATATCATGCATCCTTAGCGCTTACATCATACGTATTTTGCATATAATGTCACACGAAGATACTTATAATGCATGCAATTCGTCATTTTTCTAAAGAAACACTCTTACCTGTAGTATTCAGATCGCAAGACGTTATGCAATAGATCATTCACTGTGCTTATTCAATTAACAATCAGTATGAAGACATTGGAAAATGGAGAAAATGACGAGCATCGTTGAGATGAGATGAGATTACGCAGGCTTATGTTACATACTTCTGGATTCTACTGCGTATATATTAACAAAAGACCAATATCTTGCTAACCGATATTTTTGTCGTCATAAATGTTTATGGGCCGTTTAGAATTTGTTTCTGAAATTAGCTATGCTGTTTTATCACTTCATTGGCATTTTTTATACAGACATTAATCTTTTTTATCTAATAAATGAAATGACAACTAATCTCCCTGCTCTTAGTATGATCACCTTTATTGCCCGGAGTAATCCCCGTGACGTGGGTCCTTCGTCGGAACTAGTCAATGTATGCTACAATCAAGCACCCACGTGCATCATTCCTAGAATGTTATACCACGTAACAACGTCCAACCGTCTTCCTGGATACAAAAGACAAGTAACAGCATACAATTACAATACGCTAATCACAGTACAACCATGTGCAATTCATCATCGTCACATGAACAACGTCTGTATAACAGCACGATGAGGATTTATGAGCATTGTCAAAGTTAATCAACCCAATTAGGTAGCCCAGAAACCAACCGTTGGTTACAGAAAAAAAAAGGATAAAAGCGCGAGCTGACCAATTACAAAGCTCTTGGGGAGTATCTTTACCATCTCTTCCGTCTCGCCCGCAGCAGGCATGGTAGTTAAGGAGGCTCATTAAAGTCCTTGTTAATTATGAAAATATCAGCTATGCCAAGTGATCACGTTTATGTTATTTTGATTGATAGACTTCTTGGGTAATATGAAGAAGCTATTCGTGATGAATAAAAAGCGGTTGGTTAATCTCTCAATAAACCATGGAGCATTAACTGAAGGCTCCATCGCACATATTTATATGTTTATCTGCTTGATATCTCGATCCAAACAACATCAGCTGAGATCTTTATCTTTGAGATCTGATCTCAGTATTTATATACAGAAACAGCGGGTTTTTCACTCTAGTTGATATGAAAATAAACCTTGTTCAAGCAAAGTTTGTACTGATCCGTTTGACATTTAATAGACTGAAGATGGCGGTGCTAAATGTTCTGAAACACTCTTGAATAGTCTTATAATAGCTTTTTGCCGTGAAATATTGTACTTTTAAATGCATAAAATAATCCGAAATAACATTAGTGTTTTACGAATTCTCATGTTTTTTTTTCTGAATAACGTTAACCCTGGAGAAACACAAACTGTACAGGTAGTTAGAGATACCTTGGTGTTGAGCAAGCTCGGCATGATCAGCTTTCCTGTTCTTACTTCTGTTTTCTTACATTGAGAGAGCGTTTAATGCAAAAGATCCTTCTCTTTCTTCATGAATAAATGCTGTTTAGAATGTTCACCAACTTGGTAAACAATTCAAGATGAACACGTTTCATGACACTTACAACAGGCATATCGTATATAACCGATATACATGTATAGTTCCGTTACATCATGTTTTGGTGTTTGTATCAAGGAATGTAGTTGTTCTCCTCTTAATTAACTTATGCATGTAAGTTACAACTGCAATGTTCAAATCTTGATAATTTTAACCTTTTTTCTGGAGTGACAACTGTCATCTACGAGGTTGAATAGTGCCCTTTCCTTTCCGTATGATCATAATAGTCGCTTTT